GAGAAATTTGTTATCCTCGAAAACAACCTGCTATACAATACATGTAAGGGTACAATGTACTTAATTTACTAAATGTACTTATTGAAATAATGTTCCTTTGTTATTTTGATTCTTTTGTTCTAGTGGTTCATGGAAGAATGAAGAATTCAAGTCTTATAATTTCAATGCACTAGGAGCTCCTCTTGCCACTGGTCACCTCCATCCATTGCTTAAAGTTAGGACCGAAATACGACAAATATTCCTTGAGATGGGGTGAGCCTTTTTATCGAATACCGTATTGGAGGGAGTTAAATTTGGCAAATTGGACTTTTTGATAGCCATTTGCCAAAATAAAAATCTGCCATTTTGAGCCATTATATGCATGCTGAATGGCACGTGGCCACTAATTTGACAAATTAAAATTGGCTAATCACCAAATTTAGCAATTTGCCAAATTTAATTTCCTCCAAATTTCCTGCTATACAGTATTATTAGTTACATGTATTAGCATAGTGAGTGTATATTGTGTATTGTACATGTATAGCTTACAAAAAATTGCTTGTCTTTAAAGTGCTCATAACTCGAGAATTATTTGTCAGAAACTTTCTACATAGCATAAGGACATCAATGTACATGTACATGAGAAAATGTAATAAAAATTAGGCGTGATTGGGAATCAGCTACAATGTACATGTACATGTACATCGTTACTGCTACTAATTTCTGATCTGATTCTGCTACTATGTATAGATGATTGAATGGTATATTTTATTTTTAGATTTTGTGAAATGCCTACAAATAATTTCATTGAGAGCTCCTTTTGGAATTTTGATGCTCTTTTCCAGCCTCAGCAGCACCCTGCCCGTGATGCTCATGACACATTCTTTTTAAAAGGTAAAGCAGAAATAATTTCTCTTTAGTATTCCTTTAATTACAAAATCATTTATTTATTCTAGATCCCCAGTTTTCCTATGATTTTCCTACCGAATATTTAGAGAGAGTGAAGACCATGCACCAGACAGGAGGACATGGATCAATAGGGTAGGAACTGCTTGTGTTTGTTCTCTATTTTCCTGTAGTGTCTTTATTCTCTGATATGCATCTTCAGTGATACATGTACATACATGTATACATGTATGTGGCTACTCTTTCGAATGAAATGCATGTATAGTCAAACTGCTCTAAAACGAACCCCCGATACAGACACCTCTATAACGTACAGTTGTTGTTGTCCTGGTCATAAGGCCATTAAGAAGAACCTTTGTATAGCGAAACCTCTCTATT